TGTGAAGTTGTCAAGGACCTCTACTCAAGCAGATGTAGGAACTGATATTCAGAACTTTGCAGTTAACTCATTACTATACAGTTAACTCATTAACGTTTTCACCAGGGAGGGTGGGGGGCAACTGCTTTTCAGAGGTGGGCAAATGTTTTGAACTGAACTTTTTTATAAGAAAACTTTTCCTCTAGATAACCAAACCAGGTGGGCAAAATCATCCAGTCACAGCCGTTCAGTTTGTCTGTTGCCCAGCCCTTAATGAAATCCCTTTTTATATGATATTTACTTTTTATCTTTGGATATATCTAGGGAACCCTGTAGAGGTTACAGATTTTTTGTCAGGGTCAAATCAGGTTTAAATAAGTCGCGACTAGCTGCATTGAGGCTTGGGGTTGAGTCATCCAAAATCAAGATGGCACCTATTCCACTGACGTGACTCTCATGACATTTCCTAATTCGTTGAGGTGTGTGTGAGCTCCAGCAAATTGTCTTGGTCCACCGGACACTGGCCAACAGGGCCCGACAAGATGTTTTGAGATCTAGTACTGTTAGATATAGCCTGACAAGCCCCGATCTTGTTGCAGACTTGTCTGAATTCACCCCATACTAGCTGACAAGACAGTGAAGATTTTTTGTCGGCCGACAAAAAATCAGCTGGTGTGCGCAGCCTTAACTATATGGATTTAAAACAGGTTTAATGCTGAGTAACACTGTATATCAAACATATGAGAATGTGTTTTATGAGAAGAGAGTTGAAGACGTGACATGAAGAGGAGAGTATTTTGGGTACTTCGGATATTTGGAAAAGTGGTAAAACACAGTCAAATAATAAGGTTGATGTATCTTCTCAATCAAAACTGCAGAGTTCTTAGGAGAAAATGGGGAAGTAAAATCTTAAGCATCCATGCTAATTCAGATCAGATATCCAAACACTGTCACAGTTTAACTTCTTTTGTTTAAACTTGATGAATTATAAATGACTTTGAGGATGACAAGTCTTTGTGACCAATAATTATTGTGCTTGTACTTAATTCAAGTTTACATAGCTTGAGAAAGTGATTCAGTTTTATAAAACTTTCCTGGATGGGATGATACATAATTACTTTGGAGTAAGTACTTTGGAATGATAATTCTCTCAGTATTTTCAATAGCTTGGTGAAACAATTTGATTTCATCCATTATTCAATACACTTCTGGATGGAAAGAGGCTTCATAAAAGCTCAGTCTCTTGCCCAAGAACACAACAAAATGACCCTGGTAGCACTGATAAGCCCATACTGATCAATTTTAGTCCAACATGATAACTTAAAGAGTTTGTTCAAGGTTAAACCCTTGATGTTTTGAGCAACTTACTTCTGTGCACTCACAGTGTTACACTTCTACCCTAAGGTTCTCAAAGCTGTGGATGAATTGAANTTTGTTCAAGGTTAAACCCTTGACGTTTTGAGCAACTTACTTCTGTGCACTCACAGTGTTACACTTCTACCCTAAGGTTCTCAAAGCTGTGGATGAATTGAACAAAGATTCAACAATTCATGGCATCATTGTGCAGCTCCCCCCTGATTCTGTGGAGCCAATTGATCCTGCAATTTGCACAAATGCTGTTGCACCAGAGAAGGATGTTGATGGGTAAGGTTTCATCTGCACTGTACATGCTAGTATTGGATTTTGTTAAACAGAATTAGAAGCCATGACAACAACCATTATTGCTCTACTAGAGGCTCAGTAAAATGTCTGATGGTTCCTTTACTTCCATTACTTCATGGTATCATATTGAGGATCATACACATATGTATTGTGCATGCTGATCAATTAAATGTCCAGCTATATTGTATTTGCCCTGCCGCCCATCAGCAACTGTTATGTTAGTTTTGGAGTCTCTTAGTCTTCCACGTATGAATGAGAAATGTTGTGGTGTGTTTTGTTGCTTGTGAAATAGTGTTTTGCTCTCCTGGTTAATTTACGACTTGTTGAATTGTGTATAGCTCTTTGCTTTGAAAATGGTTTTTGCTTTGTTGTTTTTTTTTTAGGTTACATGATGTAAATGCAGGGAAGCTATCGAGAGGAGAGTTGGATGACTGCATTGTCCCTTGCACTCCCCGAGGATGCCTGGAGTTGATCAAGAAATCAGGTATTTACCCATATTTAATGGCTGTACAGTTATTTTACTTCCTGTTTCTCCTAATAAAAACTCAAAGAAAAAAGAATTGGGGAGCTGTAATGAAGCTTTTATTAAACATCACAAATTACAAGTAAGCGCCCATAGAAAATAAAGACCAAAGCCCTGTTGAAAATGTCTTTATTATAATATGATATTAGAGAATGTGAATCACATGGAGCTGGTAGGTCCTATTTCCTGTCAAGCCTGTTTGTCTTTTTTTGTAACCACATACATGTTTAGTTAACTCTGACGATCTCTTACATCATACCGTAAAATAAGTGGGGTAAAAAAATGTTTTGGAACGATGGCGAGAAAAAACATATCTGAGAAATGAATTAAAAAAGCCTACACATAACATTATTCGTCAGGTCCCCAATACGTTAGCACAAGTTCTTTGTCCGTTCTTATAAGATGGGATACTCACAAGCATGATGGGTGAAATTACCAGGGAAGCAAGGAAGGCACCAGAGGGCAGTTGGGTTATTGGAGGTGGAATTGAATTACCATGTGTGTATTACATTAATGGGAGCAAGAAACACAAAGCGCAAGTGAGGAAAGGAATACAAAAGCTCAGAATTCATTGTAGGGAGGCCACAAAAAATCTGCTTGCATGGAAAACTGCTGGATTGTAGCAAGCTGTTTGCTCTGTTACCGTACTCCAAAACATTGTTGTTGAACAGTTGTGTTGTTAATAGACAGTGGATTGCATGAAGATTTGTTTCTTTCGTTGGTATCGTAATAATTATTGTTCTTAACTCCACAACCACTGATTTATGCCTACAACTTTTCAAATAAAAATTTTGATGTTTTGGAAAGAAATGCAAAAGGAATGCCCTGATACATTAGATGGGCTTATATCCGAGGGAGCTTACATGTATATCCAGAGCAATATCTTTGTTAGCAAATAGCTGAGCTTATATCCATGGGGCTTATAACTGGGGGGCTTTAAAGTGGGTTGTTACAGTATCTCTCTTGTAGTTCAAATATATGATAGTCCCTTGTAAGTGAATATGCATGTACATCTGTTGTCATATCATTGCTGCTTGTTCATGTAGGTTTCATTACATGTAACAGTGCCAAGTAGTGATGCTATTGTCACAGGCACAGAGGTTTGTCCTATGAAACAGTTAACAGCTTTAGAACCATCATAGGCTCTACAGTTCACATTATTCAGAGTTAGAGTGCATTGGTTATCAAATCTAGTATTTAGCCAGGTCAGGGTGTTTTTAGATGTGTAGTATTCTGATTCAAACTTGTCCAACAGGTATGGAGATTGTTGGAAAAGAAGCCATAGTTCTGGGAAGAAGCAAAATAGTGGTAAGTCAACCCTTGTACATGATCGTTGATACACCTGACAGTGTGTGATAATTATGTCCAGAAACCCAACAAAGTAAATTGAAATTTCAAGATTTCAAAATCCAAGCCTTAGGATTCATGGAAGTCATGGAAAAATTGATCCTTGTCCAAGCACAATTAAGCTAGTCGTGATTTGCAGTAGAAAATGTAAGCTTTCAGCTCTGATGTCTTGACTCGCCTTCATATTAATTTTGTTACTTCATGACTACATGTTCAATGGGACAGAACATGGCATTTCTTGGTTTCCAAGGTCATAGAGTTTGCTACTTTGTTTCAAAGCTATTTGACCAGAGTTTTAGGCTATGTTCACACTAGCAGGGTGCCTGAATATGATTCTGGCAAAGCACTTATGTGAACAGACCATTAATTTTTTCCAAGTACTCACACCAGAATTCAGGCACAGAGCCCTTGTCAGGGCACAAGGCCTCCACCTTGAACTCGGGCGCTAAACAGTATTTGGGTACATAGAGTACCCAGTGTCTGAACATAACATTATTTTTTGTCAGTACCCAGGCACCAGTGCTCAGCCAGCTTTTAGCCAGAATTTGAAAAGTGGCCATCCAAAATGTGTTGTAGGGCCTGTTCAAATAAGCAATTTATAAGGCAACATAAAATATGAAAAATAAAACAATTTTCTTTAGAAAGTGGCTATCTACAGGATGCCTGGATACCCAAAGGCACCCAGTGTGGACACAGCCTTAGTTTAAAAAGACTTATACTTATGGAATAATATTTTAAATTCACCATTCTACAGTGATTTATGACGTTGTATAATATTAACGCCATGTTTGGGAAATGCACAATCTTGCAGGGTTCACCCATGGCAGATCTTCTCAAATGGCACCATGCTACAGTGACCACATGTCACTCAAAGACAAAAGACTTGCCAGATGTGGTATGTTGGTGGAATGGAAAAAAGGCTGTAAAGCCAGAATAAATTTAAATAATATTGATGTAGTGCAAAACTAAACCAACATGGTGTTACACAAGAAAAAAAGTTGAAACATCTGAATTTCTTTAACTTGTGGTTTGAGTGGGCTCCCTTACCTGCTTTACTGAAAACTAGGAAAGAACATTACCTTTAAAATCTATTCAAACTTTACGGATGGTCATAGTATTCCACCACAAGTGCCCTTAGTGGGATGCAATTTTGCCATTCATTTCCCAGAAATTGTGTTTCTTTAACCAAAAGTAATGATATTGAATGATTACTGGATTATAACAATTTCAAAAAACAGAGAGCAGCTAAGTTGAGGGATCAGGAAGTGCAGTCTTGTTTCTTGTATTCTTGTTTCTTGTTTCTTGTTTTATTTTGCCATTTATAAAATAATAACATATCAATGTATATTAAGCAAGGAAGCCCTGGGAAGCCAATAAGGCCTATGTAAAGGACTTCTTAAAATACTTAAGGTGAATTCTGCTCAAAGTTCGAGCAGTAAGTGCAAAAATTATTTACTAAAAATCTACTCACAGCACGGTAACTGTTTAAATACTATTAATTTTAAAACATCTCACTTTAACTAATATCTGTTATTGACCCTGCAATTAAACTCTCAAGCATTCTCATAGAAGCTCATGTCAAACCTTGTACATGTAGGAATGTTTAATGCATGTGTTATCGTGTTTTCAACTAATGCAAAACGTCCGTTTTAACTGAAATATGGATAACTTCAAGTTCAATTTTCTCTCGCAGGGTCAGCTTGAGAGCTTAAGTCTTGATAAGTTCTTCTTAACTTTATTCAAAACATCAGCATGCTATGAGATGTTTTTGGTAACTTTATTTTTGCTATTATTGCTTGAATGTTCTGTGGAAATTGTCTTAAGTCTTAACAAGAACAAAATGATCATAATTTAGGCCTTAAGTAAAACTAAACGTGCGAATGTGCAAAAGCAAAGGAAGGGAAAAAAGGGAAAAAGCACAATAAAATATACGTATACCAAGAAAGATGACTTAAGTTTAGAGGTGAACACAACAATGCTAGAGACATTTTGAATTTCATTGCTGAGAGAATTAAATTGTTTGGGGCTTTGAAAATGGAGATTGTTTTTTCTGGTTTGTAGGTGAGAAGGGGTGATATTGTTGTTGTTGGAATTGGAAGAGCTGATTTTGTAAAGGTATGATAGTGTGCAAACTGTGTTCTTAGCACTTACAACTCTTGCAAATGTTAAGTGTTTTCTAGATACAGTACTGGTCAAATGTTGACAAGCATTCCTTGTTCCTACTTGAATATCCTTAATCCTTGATCCTTCATGCTTTCGGCAGTAGAGGCTTGAGTTTCCAGTTTCAAGAATTTCTCAAGGAAACAATTATTTATTTCTCAAATACATGGACACACTGTAGCAATAACAGCAAACAATAGCAACAAATCAAAGTTAAGTAGATTAGTTCCTAGTTTCTTTGACCCAAAACTCGAATGACTGGACTTTAAACCCAAATGGCTAGATTGTGATGATTTTCTAATTTTTAGGGGGACTGGATTAAGGAGGGTGCAGTGGTTGTCGACTGTGGAATTAATGTGATTCCAGGTAAGATTAATAATGATCCAATACAATAGCTGTTTGCTTATTCTGTTTTGTTGCTCTAATTGTGGTCAAAATTGACTGTTCAATCATGCAACAGGATTTGTTCAATAAGTGGTCAACATTTCCTCATGTAGACCACTCACNGGTGCGAGGGATGACTGCTTCAGAGCAACAGGCCTATGTTGTAGGGTGTTGTCTTTGAATTATGCATTGAAATCCTGTTAGCCTGCTGATAAGTTCATTTTGCAGGGTGGACCTTGGAATATTCGTTACCTTCCTCTCAATCTCCAAAGACCTGTACCAAGGTATGTCTGTTTCCTTTGGTTCTAGAGTGGTTTTCACTCTTTCACTTTAGTGTCAAAAAGTTATTGGTTTTGCACTATTATGCTACACGATTGGCTAGAACACTCGTGCCACTTATTGATCTCCAATCAGAAGTAAAACCAATACCAATTACAACTCTCTTGCACACATTTTCCTATGGTTAATGTTAGCTGCATGTATTTTCTTTGAGTTTTGATTGGTTCATTGGATTGTCTGGGGCCTTTTTGATTGGCCAGAGTGATTACCTGGTTTTGGCTTAACGACACTTAATTGAAAATCACTCTGACTAGTTACTTGTAATAGAGAGAAATGGTTATGAAGTCCAGTAGATCTGAAAGGAGGAAACATGCCAAGATTTAAATTGGAAGGTGTATGTCTGTGCACAACCTTTTGTTTTACGTTTATTCGCTATTCATGGATTACATAATCAACACATTTCTATGGTTAATAGTACAAATATTTTAACAGGGAGCCCATGTCATATATATGTGGTTTTCAGTGGGGTCTGCATGCCAAAAATTAGTTCCTCTGACAGAGGTAATCACTCAGTGTGTATAACAAAGAACTTTTTAAGCCTTCTTAACCATTCCCCTGTATTACCTAATAAGTCCTGGTTAAGTTATTTATTTTAAAATATAGCCTTGTTGTGAAGCCAAAAGTTATAATAAGTAGTAATAATTATCAGTGGCTATGTTCTTGTCCATGATGTCAAGTAGGAATAACTTACTAATTAAATCAGTCAGAACATGATTAAGCAAAACTTGGAATCCCCCCAGCTCTTAAATTTGTTTTGCATAATGTTTATTTGTATGGCAGACTGTCTNGGATGACTGCTTCAGAGCAACAGGCCTATGTTGTAGGGTGTTGTCTTTGAATTATGCATTGAAATCCTGTTAGCCTGCTGATAAGTTCATTTTGCAGGGTGGACCTTGGAATATTCGTTACCTTCCTCTCAATCTCCAAAGACCTGTACCAAGGTATGTCTGTTTCCTTTGGTTCTAGATTTGTTTTCACTCTTTCACTTTAGTGTCAAAAAGTTTTTGGTTTTGCACTATTATGCTACACGATTGGCTAGAACACTTGTGCCACTTATTGATCTCCAATCAGAAGTAAAACCAATACCAATTACAACGATCTTGCACTCAATTTCCCATGATTAATATCTGCTACATGTATTTTCTTTGAGTTTTGATTGGTTCATTGGATTGTCTGGGGCCTTTGTGATTGGCCAGAGTGATTACTCTGTATTGGCTTAACGACACGTAATTGAAAATCACTCTGACTAGTTACATGTAATAGAGGGAAATGGTTATGAAGTCCAGTAGATCTGAAAGGAGGAAACATGCCGAGACTTAAATTGGAAGGTGTATGTCTGTGCACAACCTTTTGTTTTACGTTTATTCACTATTTATGGATTACATAATCAACACATTTCTATGGTTAATAGTACAAATATTTTAACAAGGAGCCCATGTCATATATGTGGTTTTCAGTGGGGTCTGCATGCCAAAAATTAGTTCCTCTGACAGGGGTAATCCCTCAGTGTGCATGACAAAGAACTTTAATTTAAGCCTTCATATCCATTCCCCTGTATTACCTAATAAGTCCTTGTTAAGGTGGTTCACAAAGAGTTATTTATTTTAAAATATAGCCTTGTTGTGAAGCCAAAAATTATAATAAGTAGTAATAATTATCAGTGGCTATGTTCTTGTCCATGATGTCAATTAGGAATAACTTACTAATTAAATCAGTCAGAACATGATTTAGCAAAACTTGGAATCCCCCCAGCTCTTAAATTTGTTTTGCATAATGTTTATTTGTATGGCAGACTGTCTTTCTCCACCACCATTTTGATTGTACAATATGTTGCTCCTTTTGTAGCGATATTGACATATCAAAGCAGCAGATGCCAAAGAAAATTGCAGAAGTAGCAAAGGAAGCTACAATTCTTGACTATGAGGTAANACACCGAAATATCAAATTTGCCTTGAGATGATGAGCTGCGTAAATTTATAAATGTACAGGAATTGGAGTACACACATGTTTTAAGGAGTTAAGTTAAACAGGGTATAAATGTTTGGGGTGCTTTAAATGTTCAAAATGGTTTCACTCACTCTGAGGCCAAAACTGAAGTGCAAAACATTTACCAAACTGAAAATTTCCATTGTTTCATTATTTTTCACACTCTTGACCTTTTTAAGATTGCTGATCCTGGTAGTATGCAGGATAAATAATATCAGATACATGTATGAACCTAGGGGTTAGATCTGGGAGGTAATGGATCCGAATTTCTTTTGGGACTCAGACTACTTCCATGTTCAATGCTTATAACATAATGAAGCTTTATCTTACAGATTTCAGTAATGTTGATATAGATGGTGTAAATACGTACTAAACATAATCTATAATAATGTTATTTTGTTACTACCAGGGCACCCCAGTTTTTGTGCATGCAGGGCCCTTTGCTAACATCGCCCATGGAAATTCTTCCATTCTGGCAGATAGGATAGCTTTGAAATTGGTTGGACCAAATGGATTTGTTTGTAAGTATATCAAAGGCCAGGTATAAGTACTGTTAATATATGTGCATATGGTGAATTTTTGTAAGGTTAGGAAAACTAGCTTAAGGTTAATACGTTCACAGAGGACAACTGAGGAAACTAGCTGTGGTTTTGTTTGCACCCTTAGCTAGATTTTTTAGTATAGCAGTGCCTACTTCTGACCAGCTCCTGTACCGGCAGGGTTCATACAGACTCTGGAATTCTTGAAAAAGCATGAATTACTGTGATTCACTGTCATCCCACACTAAGGGAAGGGTTACGGATTGCCACTAAATCATTAAAATTCAACATGTAACAGCATTAGATTAGTGCTAAAATTTCAAAGAATATAAGGCAAAATGGATATGCAAGTGTATACATCACATTTTCATGTTTATCCATCATCCTTGTTAGTCATTCTCAATTCCTAATGCCTCCTTCCTGTCCAGGGGTTTCATCAAGGGCCAGGCAGTGTGGCAAATTGACCAGCTGTGAGGATGATTTTACCAGGCTGGTTTGACCATCTAGTGGATGGTTTTCGTTATAAAGAAGTTCAGTTCAAGAAGTTTGCCCTCTAGTGAAAAGCAGTTGCCATACTGCTGAAATTGTTAATGAAACCCCTGCTTGTCACTCATAGATTACGATTCTACAAAATCAATCCTGAATTCTTAGCTTTCCTATTTGACCTTGGTCTGTTTTTTTCTTTTAGCTTCTTGAAATTGTGCTGATGGTATGACTACTCAAATCAAGGCTCTGCAACAAAATTTTCCACAAATTTAACGAAAAAAATGTGAAAGTTAACAATAGTTTTCCAACAAATTAACCTTGTGATCAAACTGTACATTACAAAGGCAAGAGATTTGTGGTCATTTTGATTATTTTATACGCTCAAACACCAGTGGTCAATTTGTAAAGAATTTGCTTAAGTGGCCTTAAAGCGACAACAAGGTGCTATTTTCATTCAACAGTCACTGAAAGTGGTTTTGGAGCTGACATTGGAATGGAGAAGTTCTTTAACATCAAGTGTAGATACAGTGGTATGTGCAGCTACTTTCATCGAGCAAACAAATCTTGCACTTTGTGTCATCAACATTCTAAATCTAAAACCATCGATCCTGCAAAGGCTGCCCTCTTGATGTCAGTGCTATTAGTTGCTGGGAAGATGTTTGTTTCATTGGCCAGGGGTCCGTCATTTTGAAAATCAAGGTTTTTTGTGGTTTGAGACATAATTCAATGCAATCTAGGTTGCTACAGAAACCATTATTAATATTTGCCCAGTTTAATACTTTCACTTGCTTCTTTCTGTCTACTACAAAATTTTTGCATAATTTACTGATTAGAAGTTTTCACTCAAAGTCAAGTGCCCATGTGAATCTTTATTTCCAGTGATATAGAGAGGAAATTTCTAACAGCTATTAATATCTGATTTAACTTAATTAGTTTGGTACTTTTGCTGCTTTTCCAACAGTCCTTGATAGCTTTTTTTGTTTTCAATAACGTGCAGGTTTAACGCCGCATTGTGCTATCATAGTAGGAACTGTCAGAGCATTGAAAATGCATGGTGGAGGACCGAAGGTATGGAGAGAACATTATTAAATCACTGACTACCTACATGTATGAACCAAGAGTGAGGTTGTCATGGGAAAATGTCAAACTGAGATCTTGCCCTGTTGATAGAGTGATTGCCAGTCAATGAGGCAAGCCTGAGGATTGAGATTTCCCAAGGAGACCAAACGTTGGAGGTTAATAAGTTGTTTATTATATGGCTTTTTGTTTTGTGTAATTTTTTTGCAATACCATAATTGGTCCATGGGCATTACACGAGAATAATTGCCCTAAGATTTAGCCAATTGATCAGAGCATGCGTTATATCAGCCACAAACACAAGCCATATAAAAAAATGTTTTAACGATCTTAACTGTTACGGTGTTGTCATACATAGCTACATTGTTATCAGGGGTGTCATTGACATTTTCAGCAGGAAGGTTACTCGGTTTTACATGCAGGCAAACTAAGTTTTTGAACTGAACTTCTATACAAGAGAATCTTTCCTCTAGATGGTCAAACCAGGTGGGCAAAATCATCCTCGCAGGTGGTTAATTGGCCCAGTGCCTGGCCCTCAATGAAATGTTCAAATCCCTGTGATACACGTACAATGTATGTTACTGTAAGTGTTGCGGCTTGTTATAAACATAGTTAAGCTTTAATTAACATAGGTGTCTAATCCTATGTACTGACTGATCAAGAACAGTTGAATTTTCAGTTTGGAATGTTCCTTTCCCTCATTTTGAGTACTGTACTGTTATCATCACTTTTTATTTTATTTCTTTTACAGGTTGTTGCAGGAAAACCACTCCCACCTGAATATACTTCTGAGGTTTGTTTGATTTTGTCTCTGCAGATGTTGCTTTTTTTTCAGTTTTGTACTGATGCTCTCTCAGGAATAATCATCTTTTATCATACTTAGTGCTGTTTTTAAATATTGATTTTTCCACAATATTTTTCAGAACCTAAACCTTGTTAGAAATGGGATGGTGAATCTCGCCAAACAGATTGAGAATGCCCGATTCTTTGGAGTTCACGCAGTTGTTGCTGTCAACAGATTTCCGTATGTCACAATATCAGTCTACCTGTTTTAAGAATGGAACAAATGCCAATCTGGCAAACTGTGGTTTCATTTAAGGGAAAAAGTCTTTAGCAACATTCAACCTTTCAGTGTACTCTAAAAATAATTATCAAGCCTTTGTTTAGCAATGAGGATACCTCTTCATTGTGTACCTCAGGCTCATTCAGGGTTGGGCGGGATACTCCCAAAGTTTTTGGTGGAGTGTGTGACCCATACCTTGAAACCTGTACCCTGTTAATTTCGGATCAAGATCTGTGATCTTCCACACCCTTTTTCAGACCTAAGCCAAACATCAATAGTTCTCAGAGATGAGAACTCACTCAAGTGATACTTGCTTTCAGACTGGTTATGAGGAGTAAGCTTATGTGCAGGTGTACTGCAGACAATTCATTTCAGCTGTCAGTGGACTTAGTCCATTGTACAGGCTACCTCATGCCCAGGGATCCATATTCACAGTTGTCCAGTTGTCTGTGACGACTAAAAAATCTTAAGGAAAACCAACGACAAGCTTTTCTGTNGTGCTTCAACCCGGACTGTTATACATGTATCTGAAGAAGTCAGATGCACCATTGAGCCACTGCACCCGAGGGTCATCCTCATTGTCACTATGCTAGAACAGTTTCTAACAAATCAAACATTGTTGAAGTAAAACATCAAGACGGCAACAAAAAATGTGAGAAATGTCCCTGAATCTAAATTGTTTGAGCCTGATTGGCTGCAAACACAGCTCTATTTTCCTTTCTGTTTTGATTGGTGTGCATAATGAATTTATTGGACTAGTTAGAAATCTATTGAAAGGCAAACTAAACTTCACATGACAACTAGTGACAGAATATTGGAAGTTATTTTTAATTCATTTGTTGCAATAAACTTTGCAACTGATGAAGTGTCTAGATAGTAAACATGGCAAAAGTCTAATATATAGTTGGTTTTATTCCCCCATTTCCTTTTAGTTGCCAATTGAAGATAAGATGAGAATTATTGCCCAGAAGATTTATGGTGCAGATGACATCGAACTGTTACCCGAAGCTGAGAAGAAAGTTGAACGCTATAAAAAGCAGGTTAGTCTAGATGTGTTTGAGTGCAATCATGTAACTTCACTTCAAAGTATTTTCAAGAAAGTTGTATTGCAGGCACGAGAACAGCTGTCAAAACAACCTGTTGGCCATCTGTCAGCTGACTGTTGGCCAACTGTTGGCCGTTTGTCGATCAACTTGATCATGACCAATATTTTCTATGTCAACCATCAATCAGTAAATTAGCGTCTATTCTACAGCAAACTTTTTGTTTTAGAAAACTGTTGGTAGCCTGTCGGGAACCTGTCAGCCAACAGCTTACCGACGGTCAGTTTCGGGACCTTTTTTTCANTTTTTTTTACTTTTTCTAGGTTTTACTCTTCCTATCCGTGATGTACGAGCTAGTGTTGGTGCTGGATTCCTCTATCCACTGGTTGGCACTGTATGTATTCACTAACTTAGCTGACGTTGCATGTTGTTACTTTGAGAGTTGACTTTGTGGGTGTTCCTTGGCATCAGGAACATCACTAGAAATGAGATGAGATGTGTGGCTAATGTTGTAATTTTCATGAAGTTGAGGAAGTATAAGACTACAAACTGGAGTCCCCCCAGCAGCCCCCCCAGCCACAGAAATTATGTAATTTTTTGGGCAAAACGCTCATTATTTGGACAACAAAACTTGAGAGAAAACATTACAAAATAATGCAAATAAAATATCTAGTTTGTTACTTTTTATGAATCTCTGTGCAGTTAGACACCTGCCCAGGTCTGTAGGCTGTCAAGTGGTTTCTTCATAAAGTTGGTACTTACCCTGGCTTCTTTCTTGACTACTAGTAGTCCCTCTTTCGCTTAGTCCATCGTGCACGATGTGAAAGAAATTTAACTGCAAATAAAAAATCTTGGGCGTGAGAAGCACATAAAAGAATGGACTACCAACTAAGCCAGGGAGTTTGACCTTTCATGGCTGAGTAATTCTTCAGTGTCAATTTCCAATCTAATTAACCATTATATCCTTTTGCATGCTTCTCGACCCCAGAATTCCATGCAGCCTTTTGTCTCATGGTTTTCTTTCGCGTCATGCACAACGGACTAAGCGATAGAGAGACTACTCATAGTCTAGCTTCTCTCAGAAAGTCTAGATTTCCAGTTTCTTTTGTTATAACTGTTTATCTTGGTGTTCCGTTTCAGATGAGCACCATGCCAGGACTTCCCACAAGACCTTGCTTCTATGACATTGACTTGGACCCAGTTACAGAAGATGTATTTGGGTTGTTTTAGCCCTCCTAACTCAACTTGTTTTAAGGCTCATAAGAACTCATAGCCAAGAAAACAAGTGTGATTTTTGGTATGTACCCTTACTAGCATGCAGAATTTCCAAGTGATTACACACCATGAATATTACAGAATTGTCCCATAATGTATTGGTTGTTAACATCACTGAACAAGGAATGGAAACTGAAGGCTTGATCAACCAGAAATGGTGCTTGTTAACTTGGCTTATGTGGAATACTGTATGTTCTGAAAGTAGCAAACGTCATTTCTTTCAGGATTAGCAGTCTTTTCCTATTGTTACTTTTGGTGTTGCAAATTTCAGGGGCTTAATTTGTAACTTTTGTGCTGCTTAATCATCTAATGTATGGGGACCCATTTTGCGGTATTGTTGGTGTAAACAGTGATGAAATTATGACTTTAAGTATTTCCACTCATACGTCAAAATGAAATGCTCACTGAACACCAAGTTTAAGTTTATACTGAGTGAAGTTTGAAGGGAGATCAAATTGTGATAAGGTTTTACTGATTTTTCCAAGGCCTCTGCAGGCTTTGAAAATCACTAGTCCACTATCCAGGAAGATGTTAATTTTTTTGTTTGGTGGGGAAGGGGGAGTGGGTGTGGTTACTCTTGGAATTTTCAGGACTTGTATAACAAGGTGTGTTTTTTGCTGCTGTGAGTGTACTATTTTTGTCATTTATCTATGAGGAAACATTTTAAGAGAAATTAATAATATATCAACTGTAAGAACTGCTTAATGAAGACAGTCGAATGTGCTAAGTACAACTGACATACTTCAAGTTAAAACTGTAGATCATTATTTTAGAAAAATGAACTTGGCATTGATGATTCTTTTGTAGGGCTGCAAGTTAATAAGTTATCAAATAATGATAGCAAGGTAAACTTGTCATTATAAACTGGTTTTGGAACAAAATGGATGCCAGAAATGGAAAGAGTGCAATGAAATTGCCAGGGTGCTGATGTCTAAGTGAGATTTAATTGTAGTTTGAAAGTTTCAAACATTGTCAGTGACATGAACCGTGCCACTTGGAAGAAAACTGTAATTGAGCACAATGAAGAGCGATCTTTTTTGTTAACAGACCTGAGTGCAGCACAGCACAGCACAATGCAACACCAGCGTTAATTTTTTCCAGACCAGTCTAGTGCAGCCCAGCACAGCACAAAAGCATGCCAAAGCATTCCTTTCAATGCCAAAGCAATCTTTCGAGGCACTTTTTGCATGGAAGTTTCTCAAATCGCAATAAAAAATTTCCACGTAAATGGCAACAGTTTCATATCGGCAGTCTTACTGTTTTTGCATCTCATTTTAGGCACTCATTTTGTTCTGCAACCGTTGTTTATGATTGACAAAGTCAGATACTGGAGATTGGCAGAAGGCCAAATTTTGCATAACAGCCTTAGTGTTTGTGCTAACAGTTAGATTGTAAGGAAATAGGTTTAAGGATGAACAGCTGATGGTCAGCATAAGCCTTATTATCAGGGGCTTAATTGTCATATTTTTCTAGGCTCAATAAATATTTTGTTTGTAATGTCTTTCTTGTCCTTTTGTTGCTTGGTTTGTCATTTTAGCTTTGTAAAATAAATAATGAGCACCTGCAATTTTTAAGCTTAAGTCAGTCTTTGTGCCCTAATCTTCTTTATTTTTAACAATCCTCGTTCTGTTTTGGTTCACATAACCTCTGTTTTTCTCAACCCCGGTAAACTATAGTTTCAGGGTTTCCTTTCAACTGGAGGTAACTTTGTGCATAACTAAAAAGAATTAGCCCCCTAGCACTCATTGCACAACAAAATTCTCGTGAAAAGCACAGAAGTTCTTTAACATGTCAAATCACTCCATCATTTGGATGTCACAAGGCTTTCTCAAGCTGATCCCAAAAGTAAGATTTCATGTAGCAATTTTCCCAGTGAAGCACTCATTGCACAACAAAATTTGCATGGAAAGTGCAGATTGGAAGTTCTATAACATGTCAGATCACTCCATCATTTGGTTGTCTCAAGGCTCTTTCAAGCTGATCCCAAAAGTAAGGTTTCACATGGCAATTTTCCCAGTCAAGGTATGTCCTGTCTCGAAGAATCAGCGGTATTTCGCAGCTCTTGTATACAATGGGCACGACCTGATGAAATCGTATCCTTGTGAGCGCCTTCTGCAGCTCATGGCTCCACCAGTTACTTTGCACAGAATCTGGTGTAAGCACAGCAATTGTTTTTCTGCTGTAGCAGATTGCTTGAGAAATGTTTTCCACAATTGGTACTCCTGGGATAAAGTCTTTGAAGTCAATACAGCAGATGAAGCCTCGCTTTTCAAGCTCAGCAAAGAGTTCCTTCACCCAGACAACATCTTTATAGCTGTAGCAGATGAATACGTCCCATTTGGGTTCGTAATCTGAAGTGAAAACAAATCTGTGGGTAACAATGTCATGGTAACACGTAAACCTGTATATATTAACCAGTATTTATTTTATGGCTTGTGTTTGAAGCTGATATAGAGTGCACTCTGATTGGCTAATTCTAGGGCATTATTCTCCCGTATTGCACACAGGCCAATTATGGGCCTACAAAAACAAAGCAATAAGCCAGATAATAAACAACTTGTTAACCTCAAACATTTGGTCTTAACAGGAAAATCTCAAACTGAGACCTTGGTGTATTGACCAAGTAAAGCAAGGTCAATATGGCAAGGCTGAGGTTTGAGATTTTCCCATAGAGACCTCACTCTCAGTTAATAAGTTGTCAAATATATTATCTGGGCATTTACCACCCAAGTCAATCAACCCCCAACTGTTTAGCCTTCCACTGGAAGTAAAAAACATTGCTATTTCATGTTCTTTAAGAGTGAATGAGGGCTTATCAACTTTAGCTGGGGGCAAACTGGCTAGGGGCTAATCGACTTGGGGGTCTATACAACTTGCATTCTGTACAGTAAAGTACTGTACCACTTTTTTGTCAGATGTTTACCAAAAGCTTCAGAATNACACAGGCCAATTATGGGCCTACAAAAACAAAGCAATAAGCCAGATAATAAACAACTTGTTAACCTCAAACATTTGGTCTTAACAGGAAAATCTCAAACTGAGACCTTGGTGTATTGACCGAGTAAAGCAAGGTCAATATGGCAAGGCCGAGGTTTGAGATTTTCACGTAGAGACCTCACTCTCAGTTAATAAGTTGTCAAATATATTATCTGGGCATTTAGCCCCCAAGTCAATCAACCCCCAACTGTTTAGCCTTCCACCGGAAGTAAAAAACATTGCTATTTCATGTTCTTTAAGAGTGAATGAGGGCTTATCGACTTTAGCTGGGGGCAAACTGGCCAGGGGCTAATCAACTTGGGGTGTAAACAACTTGCATTCTGTACAGTAAAGTACTGTACCACTTTTTTGTCAGATGTTTACCAAAAGCTTCAGAATCTTTCTTAGGTCTGCCTCTGTATTTTATTCCTTTGTGACATGCTTTAAAAAGCAGCTTCAGCTTATTTCCAGTAAATTATAATACTAAAGGGAACTGTCAAAACTGCAACTCTGGATTATTATTTGAATGAAATGTGAAGGGCATGCATGCCAAATTGCTTGCATGTGAAAAGACGCATAAACAAATGAGAGATGAAAGTCACGACTGACTAGAACATGGAGGTCTGTTAATGTGTTACACAAATTCTAAAATGGTCATGTCTCGATTCAAATCATAAAAAAGAAATGAGAATTATGACAAAATGCACTTAGTAGCCACTTCCACAGTCCTGGCCATGCATCACTAGATTTAATCTGTCCATCTCGATCCATCCACTGACACTGCACCTCAACTCTACCTTCACAGGATCCTGTTATCAACAGGTCCGGTTAGTTATTTCTAGTTATTGTGTGATATAGGGTTGTTGCCTTACCTATTTCTGGAGCCTTTTTCACAACCTGATCAAACTCAGCATCTTGCATATTCTCACACAAGCCTTGCAGTTGACAATCACCTGGTTCACATGACGACGACTCTGGATTGCGTTGGTTTGTAGTTGTGCCACTGCTGCGGTATGAGGAGAGCCAGCCCTTCTTCTTCGCAAAGCAGTAAAACAGTAGAACTATGATGGTGGTAACAACACCAGTAACGATGCCTATAGCCACCACAAGTGTGATGCGATTTGATGGCAAGGGTTCATCTAGTTGAAAAAAAAATTAGAACTTAAAAGAGAGTTTAATTTTACTTCAACCCTTATATTGTGGAAAATCAGGCGAATCTTGATTTCAATATCTTGCATGTATTTTATTATTTGGTGGAACTGGTCTACAATGAACGTAACTGTATGTTTAACTTTTGCATTTGCGTTTACCAAAAATGGATAAAAAAGATAATAATGTACATCACTTTATCAGCACATTTCAAAGAGTCATAACATATATAACAATGAAATGAATTTGAATATTTCAAACAAGACAGTTGAGTTATAAAGATGATTATTTTCAAATTAATCTGACTATTAATATGATAAATTTACCATTGATAGATGGCACCTCTACTTTATTAGAAGATAGATTTTTCATACCTTCGAAGTTTTCCTTAACGCAGTCTGTGATATTTTCTGCTGGTTTATTTGGAGAAGGATCTGGTTTGCTCGAGTTTAACTTGAAGTCAGGACATTGTTTACATGCATGACGTGATGATTGGCCCACTTGTGGCTGATATGTTCCCCAGGGGCATTGAATCCGATGCACACTTCCTAATGGACAGTAATAACCCCGAGGACATGTTGCCGTCAAATTTACTGCAAAATAAACAATATATACCTAATGTCATTCTTGAAAAAGATTTCATGTCAAAAAAGGAAATTGGTGAGTCAAACTCAAGAGGTAAGCGTTGCAGTTGACTTATAGTTGCTTATAATTAACCCAACATTGACTTATGGGAATTTCTCCCAAAATGTTTTTTTAAAATTTCCTTTTATCACCCTGCAAATCCCTATTTAAGGCTCTTTTCTTGAAGGATTGCAGCAGAACGGCCCAAAACTTCATTTGAAGGTGGAAACCAACATTACCTGACACTTTTAGGCAAATAGCTTGTCGGAATGAATTTTTGTTTTAATGTGTGAAAGGAGAAACATGGGGCTACAAAATGCAAATAATTTATACACAGATTCAGTTTATGTGTTAACATCCTTTTTACTACCCAAATCAGATCATGCAATGATTCATTGAGGGAGGTTACAAATTATTGTTCTGTTTGTACATTCTCCCATACAATCAGTTACATGTACATGTGACAAATTGCACAGATGTAACCTCCCAGATGAATCATGACGTGGTCTGAATCCGGTGACAACAAGGTGTAAACTCCGTCTACTGTATTACACTGTAAATACCACTTTATGTCTTGAAGAAGTGTTGACGGACAAATCAGTTGAAGATGAATTTGCCCACATAATTCATCTGAACACTGAATTTAGATGATTTATCTGTCTTGGATGAATAAATAATCTCAGATTGATAAATCATGTCCTGATATAAATTCAGCCTCGGATAATCCAGCTCTACAGTATAAATTCAACCATTGACATTATATGTTAAATGTTAGCCAGTAACAAAATTTCCATACCAACTTTAAGATGAAATGGTGCTAATGATTTAAGTCCATTGTCATGCATAGCATAACAGGTGTAGTTTCCTGCATCTTCCATTGTGACATTTTTTATCTCTAGATTAACAATCTTCACATTTTTATTCCGGTCTGACATATGAAAATATTGGTAGTGTTTTTGATCCCCCTCCTTAATAAGTGACTTGTCCTTGAAAAAGCTATTCTGTACTGTATAATCCTGGGTTTTGCAGGTAAGATTGACAGTTGACCCAGTATATGCTGTATTCCTACTGTCGCCTTCTAGTTTCACATACTCAATATATGGCCCTTGTTGTTTTCCTGAGGACGAAAATCAGAGTTTTTTTTCTGAGTTAGGTTTTAAGCTAGACTTGCCACAAGTTGACTTTTACTTAATGCTATGCTTATTCATCTCCCTTGAGTGAAGCAAGAGAGCAATCTTCGAGTGACGAAGTTGCAAGTGTGAGCAGCTCTAGTCACGAAAGGTCAACATGTTTTACTCGCAGGGATGTGTATCAAAGCTAAAATGTTTGGCATGAAAAACGTGATTGACATTTTCTTAAATTTGGTGTGATGCAAGTACAAATAGACTCTCAGAATACAATACTAACAGGTTCAGGGCTGTCATTAAGGGCCGTAACCCATAACACCTGTTACAGCTGAGTATGCTTGATTTTCTCCTGATGCAACAGGTGAAGTTGCCTGTTGTTGATAGAATTCACCCATAAAGTAACAAGTTTGCTTCAGGTGTGGAGAACAAGGCTACAGGTGACTCAAAACTTAATGACAGCCCTGCAGGTTATTGTAAACAACAATTGTCACATTACATCAGGTGAATTGATTAATCTCGGTGGAATTTACCATGCGATCTAGTCAAGCCAAAATACCCTCAGCTGATGACATACCAAAAAGCTAAGATCTTAAAGGTATTTAGCGTACAGAAATTCTGCCAGAAGTTCGACAACATCAATTTTTTCCAAAACCCAGGAAATAAGGGCACTTTACGGATTATGCCCCTGATTGGCTAATTCTGAATCTGCATATGGTAGTGGCTGTAAATAATGCAAATTCTTTAGGTTGAATGAAATTAAAAAAACCCTCATCAGCAGTTCACCAGAAACTGTTCCAAGAAATTTTCATTCTATTTGCCCGTTTCAAAAGCAAACTTTTTATGGTAAACTTGGTGATATAATTATTAATAAAATTAAATTTGAACACAGTTTGATCTGATTTACTTACTTTCATTTGATAAATAAGATGACGCTGTTACTTGTCCAACCTTATTCTGTACAACACACGTGTAGTTTCCCGCATCCCTTCGTAACACTCCCTTAATGAGTAAACCTGTGTTACAGTCCTGGTATTCATGTCTGTTGTCTGCAACTAAGGCCGAGCCATTTAACAGCCATGACACAGTGGCTGATAATTTTGAAATACTCACTGTGCACTTAAATTTGACATTCTGACCCACAAAAATGTATCTTCTATTGCCATTAATTGTGACCTGGGGAGGACCTGTGAGAGCTGATGATGATTGTGATGGTAAGATTGTTCCATTTAAGCATTTAGGAGTTAGAGAAACAGCATTTCGTCTGTGCCGTTCTGAGGACAAATAAGCTGCAATGGATCAACCAAAAATCAATCAGTCAACCTGGGTCAATCAGTCAATCAGTCAGTCAGCCAGTAGGCTGCTCAGTGGGTTGAACAGTAAGCTGGCAAGCTGGTAAGTCAGTCAGTCGGTCGATAGGCCAGTCGGTTGGTTGGATGGTTAGTTGGTTGGTCTGTCAGTCAGTCAGTCAGTCAGTCAGATCAGTCAGTCAGTCAGTCAGTCAGTGAGTTAATAAAAGACTACTGTCTGTATAATTAAAACCTTTCAAATCTGTAACCTGTGTTTCAGACACCCACTTACATGTAATACAAATGTCTCATTGTTACAGTAGTTTTGATCCCAAGCTAGTAGATTCAACTGTTCCTTTGATGACCATGATCCGAGTGATCTTGGATCATTGATCCTGATAAGGGCATAGCTGGGGGGGGGGGGGGG